TGGACGTCGCCGCACTGACAGCCAGTCCCTACTGACGGGCACCTGGCGGTTTCCAGCCTCCCTGCGCGGCAGACAATACCACGTGAACATCTGGGCATGGTGATTTTTGCATATTTGAACCAGCACCATTTTCAGAGGAAACAAAATCTAATGTTTTTCTTCTTTTCCTACATTTCCAAATCACAAACATTCCAGTTTGGAATTAGTGTTTCTTTAGGAAAAATAAAACTGGGTTGATTGAATGATTCACAGCAGCACAAACTGAGCTGGTCTGGGCCTTTCCCAGCGGTAAGGCAATCACACAAAATAAACTGCGTTCTCCTCCCGCCGCCCGCCAGCCCGCGAGCAGCCCGCACCAGTGGGAGTGCTCCTCCAGCGTCTTCACGGGCTCGGAGACGTTGCGGGTGTCCCAGAACTTCACCCTGCAGTCGTCCCCGCAGCTGGCCAGGTAGTACTGCTTGTTGGGGTTGAAGTCCAGGTCCCGCACCAGCTGGCCATGTGCGTTCTCGATGCAGTAGATCTGGCTGCGGCAGGAGGGGCGCAGGTGAGAAGCAGGCCAGGAACAGCCACCGACTGCCCCGCACCCGCTGCCCGGACCCCGTCCAGCGCCGGCCCCCCGCCTGTGCCTGAGTGCAGGCTCCAGCTTGACGAGGCTGCAGGTGCCAGGGGCCTGGCGCCCCCTCGACACCCCTCTCAGCGGGGGGGCTGCAGAAAGGAGGCCGGTTTGCGGCTCCCAAAGGCGTGAGCTGGTGCCTTGAGGGTGAGAGTGAACAGAAGGAAGCAGTGCCACAGAGAGGCAGACGGACTTTCGGACAGGCCACCTGACCCTGTGTGGGAGGAGCCGTGAGATGAGAGAAGGAAAGAGGAGGATGTGGAAAGCGGAATACAGTGGTGCTGGTGGTGGGAGACAGACAGAAAAGGAAGGAAAAGCTGGAAAAACTACGGAACACTGAAGGAGACAGCGCTGCTACAGCGAGGCCGGGCCCTCAACACTCACATCACCCCGGGCGCCAAGCCTGGAGGCACCTGCTCCGCAGTCCAGGGCAACACGGGAGGGGCAGGGGCCACACGGCTGTTCAGGGTGCACTGTGCACACCCATCTGCGTGCGTGCGTGCATGCACATGTACACACCCACACAGGTGTGCACTGGGGCGCACTCACACAAGCACAAAGGCACACGGGCACACATGCACGCACAGACCTAGCTGAAGCCCCACACCCACCCCTCCAGGCTGCTCCTCACAGGACGTGAAGTCAGAACATTCCGCCTGGTACGACGGCCCCTTCTGACGTCACCAACCCAAACCAGAGGAGCAGGGCATCCTGAGGTGGGACAGGGGCTTGGGACAAAAGGCCTGCATCCCAGGCAGCATGCGATGAGGGCCCCCACTGGGCAGGGCCATGGTCCGGCCCCGCGTGACGCCCCGTCTGCCCGGGCCCTCCATGTACCCCCTCGCATGTGACTTCACCTCTCCCGCCGTCACTGCAGCTCCGCTCCGTGTGGCCCCGAGGGGACGGTGGAGGAAGGCAACAGCTCACCTCCCACCCCGAGTCCCCACTCCCCACTCTCTCAGCAGATGCCCTCAGTCCTTTTCATCTTTCCTCCCACGCTGCCTTTTCTGACCCAAAACCACTTTGAAATCTTGAACCGCTTTTTATACCCTGCACTTTTCCAATATCCTAATATTTTTTCCTAAAATACGATACCCGAAACTAGAGCTCTTCCAAGTGAAACAGAGAAATGAATAAAATCAAGCCTGGCGAGGTCCTGGGGGCTGGGGGCCAGTCGCACGTGCAGGGAGCACAACGCGGGTTGGCTGCGGGCTCTGGGGCAGCAGTCTGAACACACGAGCACGCAGCTCAGAAGCGGCCCGGACAGCATCCCGCCACGTGGAGACCCACTGCGCGCTGAAGGGAGCGCGCTGAGAAGAGCCAGGCTGCGCCCATCACCCCGGGGAGGTGGGCAAGAGCCCCGTCGGGCCCCTGGGTTTTGGGGTCTGTGCCATCAGTCTTCAAGGTCCTTGTTCAGACACTGAAATCTTCACATTCTTCAAAGGACGATGAAAACAGGACAAGGTGGCCGCAGCCCTGGAGGAATGGACGCAGCCCAGACGCTCCTCGGGGTCTAAGCCCGGGGCTTTCAGCTTCCAATACGACACTGAACAAACCCGCACACGTGCCGGCTACCGATCACCCCCGCGTTCTCAGAGGGCTGCAGGCCGAGATTTAGCGCCATCCCCGCCCTGGAAGGTAACACGAGTTATTTCACGACATCCCTCTTTGCAGCTTAGTGATAAATTATGGTGTGCTGAGGGGATAAGCTGTATCTTAAAAAAGATTGCCGGCCCCTGTTGCCATGACAACAGTGTGCACACCGTCACCCCGTTGCTTGTCAACGCCACACCTGGCAGAGAAAACCTGCTCTTACGTGTCCCATTAGGGGTGCCGGCTGTTGTGTATAATGGCTTAAGTGACAGACTATGATTATCCCACGGCGTGTGTCTGGAAGGCAGAGAGGTGGCCAAAGACAGTGCCACATGCTTAACAGGGACGGCAGCCCTCATCTGGCAGTCACTAGCCACAGGGCGCGAGAGACCAAGGTCACATCTCAGTCCTGAGCTGCCAGGCTGGCCTGACCTTAACTCCCACCGCAGACGGCTGCCAGGGTTGGGGGGGCAGTGCTCCCAGAGGAATGAGACCCCAGGGAGGGGGGACGGACCCATAGCTGGGTCCAGTTGGGGAGGAGAAAGAAGACAAAGTGCATGACTTGCCAGAGATAAGACCTGCACAGACGGGCCACGTGGCCCCAAATACGTCAGACGCAGAACCGCGCCCTTGTAGACCAAGGTGGGAGGCGCCGGGCATGTCCTGGTCGGGCCTGGCACTGACCTCATGGTCCGCGTGTCCCACCCTCGGACGGCTGTGTCATTCGCCGTGGCCACCTGCGTGCAGTTGTGATGCGGGCTCCACCGTCCCGTCGTGAACTTCAGCTGTCCCTTCCCTTCCAGGGATGCTGAACTGGCCAGCTGCGAATTTGGCAATGGTTTCAAAGGAAGAAGAAAAGAAAAGTAATTTGAATTCTATTCAGGAAATTTCAGAGGATGTCCTCCAGCACAGGGTGTCATTGAAATAATTATTGAAAATAATTAGGAAGCTCTGACTGTTTCCTTCCCTTAAAAGGCAAGAATGTTTGAAACTTATTTGGAAAAACCTATAAAATTGAACGCAGCAAAAAATAGAAAGCATATTAATATTCCCTCTATCAAACGAGACTTGCAAGTCTGTGATTAGCGATAATCTGCTCACATGTGGAAAACCTCGAACCCTGGCTTCCCCCAAAGACACAGGCGGGGCGGGCGGGGCCACACGGTCACTCCAGCTGGAGGAGGGTACACAGCCGTGGCCCAGCCAGACAGCCGCTCGGGCATGCCCTCCCCCGTGCCCAAGCACCCTGAGCCCTGAACTCAGGGTTGACCAGACCTCAGCAGGTAGTGATGGAGACCTTGGGCCCCTGGCACAGGGCCCCGGCCTCGTCTCCCCACCGCCCTCCCACCTGCCACCTGGGGTCTGCACAAAATCACACTGGCTACGTCACTGCTTCCATTTGGAGGCTGGATATCTATCCACACGGTGACTTCTGAAGGTCGGAGAGCTCCGGGCTGCGTCTGTGGCCCCAGGTCACACAGGCCACCATCACTCACTCCACGTCACCCTGAACCCCAGCCTCGCTCTGCAGACCCTCCGAGAGGGGTCTGGGGGCCGGTCCCCCAGCTCTAGACAGAGGCCCGAGGGAGTCACCAGGGCGGGAGCGTCTAGAGGCCCCGCTGCAGTGCTTCCTTGGGGCCCCGCAGCGCGAGGGCAGGGCGGGTGCCCGGACTCCAGACTGCTGGGCCAGGTGGCCCAGGGAACCGGTGGTCAGTGCACAGGGCTTTGACTGGAAGCGTGGGGAAAACACAGGCTCCCTCTCCAGGGAGGCTGGCCCAGTTAAGAAGGATGATGGCGGGGACATTTTTAGACACGACTTCCGAGCATGAGCCCCATTTATTCTAGTGGCCACTGCAGCAGAGGCCACCCAGCCAGGAAAACACTGACCAGCCCCGCTGAAGCATTTCACCTCTTCTCTGGACAGTTTAGTGTCTCCACTTGGCCCAGAAAATTTTTCTCTCAAAAAAATCCATGTTCCCACCTGACTCTGCACATCTCGTAGGTGCCAGGCCTCATGTCAGCACCTCACGGCCCGGCCGAGCTCCTGGCTGACTGCACATGTCTCTCCCAGGGGACCAAAGGCCTGGAGCCAGTGAGAGGGAGGACGGCGGGGTGTCTGTGCAGGTGAGCGCTGCGCAGAGGACAGCAGCGCCCCCGCGTCCCAGAGTCAGGAGAACGTCGCCATCTCTGAGGAGACGTGCGGACCAGGCGCCCCGGCGGGATGCCAAGGCTGGTACCATGCGCCTGCTTGGGCGATGCGGAGCCCTCTGGGTGCCCCCGCCCAGCTCCAGTGGGCTAGCCCCTGCCCACGCCGCCCACTCCACCCTCTCCACCCCACCCCACCAGGCGGCAGGAAGACAGAGCACGTCTCCCTGGGAGAGCGGGGCCCCTGCTTTGTAAGACCCCAGTTAGCGGGCCTGCCCCGCCATTACACAGACCAAGTGCCACTGACTAGCCTCTGACCACACAAAGTCAAAGGGTTATTTCTGTCCCCGGTGAGAAGTACATGTTATGTTCCTAGCTGTAGGGGACACTGCCAGGCACGGCGGTGACAGAGGGAGACAGGTGACCACACGCACACAAAGTGGGAAGAAAGGCAAGGGCCCCGGGCGTGCCTGGGTTAGGGGGCTGGGGGTGAGGGGCGAGGGCAGAGGTGGAACTGGAACACGGGGAGAACATCTGGAGAAGGAGCCCCCCCTGGGAACCGAGCACAGCCACGGGGGGCAGGGCCTGCACCAGGCAGACACGTCCGCTGGGAGCTCCCGGTGGCCATGGAGAGCCCACGGGGCAGGCGGCCAGCAGTGCCCTACGTGGAGGACGCTGGGAGGGGACATGTGCAGCCTGGAACCCGAGTGAGGCCAGAGCCACGGTGGCAGAAGAGGCAGAGGCCAGAAGAAATGTCAGGAAGGGCAGAGTGGCCGCGGGACAGAAAGTGGGCTTCCTGGCGGCCGGGCCTGGGCACTCCTGCCAGGACTGGAGGACACTCGGACCCCTGGGTAGAACTGGGCCTGAACCAGCTCAGCAGAGAGGGTGACCCTGGGGACCCACACACCTACCCCCGCCTCACTCTGTCCCCACCTCTCCCCACTCCGGACCAGCACCCTCACGGCCACTCACAGAACGTGAGCTAGGCACCCCACCGAAGACCGGGCTGACCCTCAGACTCACCCCCGAGAGGGACAAGCGTAAGGGATGTGAAGCATCCACACAGGCGAGTCCTCCTGCGTCCCCGGGCCTGAGCTGCCGGGACACAGAGGCCTGCCTGCACAGCAGCCGCGACCACTGCCTGAGCCCCAGGTCCCCCTCGGACCCTGCATAGCCTCATGGTCTGCACCGGAAGCCCTTCCCGCCCCAGGGACTGAGAGGCCGCCCAGAGCGAAGCCTGACAGACGTGGTCCCCTTGCCAGTGACTGGTTTAGGCCTGGACATGTGGTCGTGCCTGGAAAGGGGACAGAAGGACTTCTAGGAAAGGCTTTCCTTACAAAGCAAGGGAGACACAGGGGAGAAATCTGCTTTCTCTGTGCTGATGTGGGAACCTGGATGTGACGGCTAGAACCACTGCAGTCGCCTTGCAGTCATGAAGGGAGATAGCAATGACACGTGGACATGGCAGAGTGGAGCATGTAGAGTAGCTGGGTCCTCCATGCTGCAGAGTCACCGAGTTAACCAACCCCGGAATGGCTCTCTTTCCACATTTCTCATTACCTCAGATAATGAAACCTCCTCGCTCTTTAAGTCCCTTCCTGTGTCCTGCAGCCAAACTGACACACCCATGATGTCCCTCTGAGGCAACAGTGTCGGGGGGCTTCCTACAGGTGGGGGAATGTCCCTGGCCTCTCCCAAGCCGAATCCCAGCCCCACCTTTGAACAGGAGCTGGGGCCCTGCCCTGCTTTCCCATGAGCGACCTGACCAGCCCCTTCGCCTCTTTGCAGTCTGGCTTTCTCTCCTGTGTCTCACTGGTAAGATAAAGAAGATCTGCCCCCCAAGGCTATGAGGATTAAACACTCCTAAAAACCCAAGAAGATGCCTGGCGCTCTGCTCTGCCTTCAGGGACAAGGGCGGAAGGGACAGGGTGTGCTGTCTTCTGGGGCACAGGTGGGTCAGTCAGAACTGACACAGTGGTGGTGGGACTCAGCAGGCCCCCTCAAGGCCCATCGCTGCCTTCAGGATGTGGAAGGAAGGGTCCGGTCACCCCTGCCCCATGAAGTCAGGGTCATGGCGGCAGGCGGCCCACAACGACCCACACCGACCCACAGACCCAGCAGGGCTGGCGGGCTCCCACACCCCGTCAAGGACTCTGCCCCCGAGAAGTGTTCCAGGATTCACAGAGCTGACGCAGGGTGGTTCTGAGAGCTGTCTCCTAGAAACCTGAGTCCTCCTGTGTTTAGAAAATGCCACGAGGCATTAGGTGCCAGCATTGGTGAGGACCTTGAGGTCATTTGCAATTTATTTTTAGTTTATTTCAAACAGGACTCTATTTGTAGGAAGAGCAGAATTAAAAGGGTTTCTCCCCTTTGCTGCACCGAAGCCCAGCCTCTCCCTGTGGAGAAAAATGTGTCCGACCTCCACAGCTGCGGGCTTGACCTTCGCTCCAGACTGGAACAGGAAAGGCTGTGAGGGCAGACGCAAGGCTTCTGACCAAGATGGATGAGAATGCAGCAGTATTTCCGTCACAGCAATGAGACACCAGTAATGCACGGGGGAGAGATCTCATTACAGCTGCTTCTTTGGAGAGGGAGGAAATCTTTTATGAAGAATAATGAAGGCTTGGAGCACCGGAAGCCCTGCAGCAATCAGCTCACTGCGCCCTTCCTGTGTGAGCCGTGATCATCACTTGCCGACTGCAGGGAGAGTAACCTAATTATCAAGTAAACACAGATCGCTCTTCAGTACCTCGGTTTCTCCCCTTTGTACCTCCTGCCTTTGCACTAGGATCCGACCCTCGTTCATAATCCGCTTTTAGAGATCATGTATTCCAGCCGCTCCATCTGTCCACACGTCCATCCTTCTATGCATCTTTCTAAGTATCCATCCATCCATCATCCATCCCTTCACCCGTCTATCCATCCATCACCATCCACCAGGCACGTGCCGACCACCTGCCACGCACCAGGCACCACGGGGGAAGCTGTCTTCATGTAATGTCACTGTTAGAGTGTCCTCCTTTACAGATGTGGGCACTGAGGCGTGGACGGGCCAAGCACCTTGCCCAAGGTCACACTGCGGGTGGGACCGGACTCACAGCCTTCAGCGTCTCCTCCGTGTGCCCATGACCCTGACCCCCCACGGCCCCTTAGCCTCTGGCCCATGCCTGCCCCAGCCGATTCCAGGGAAACCTAAAAGTGTAAACTAGAGGCGCCATCCATACACTGTAACTGATGGAAACTACCAAAGAGCAGAGGCTGCGTCTCTGCTGTCACAGGCTGGACGGCCCGGGGCCCTGCAGGCAGCCAGACCCGACGCTGATGGCAAGCACGAGCCCTCCCGGGTCAGCACCTGCTTTCTCTCTCACACACACAGCTTTTAAATGCGCGCTTCCTCTTTCTCATAGAAAGAAGCCTTTTGAGAGCTCAGGAAACACTCGCTTGCTAAACACCTCCCCTCAGTCCACTTTGCATCTAATAGGTTTTTTCCAAGATCCACCTGGAAAATTTAAAAGTACTAGTTGTCCCCAATATTTAGAAAACCAAAAGGCATGAGCAGTTATTGTGCTATGATATCAAGCTATGGAACCTAGTAAGTAAGTTACTATACTCCACGTTTTCTTAGAGATCATGGCTTCTTTCTCAAAAACAAATACCCTGAAACGAGAACTCAGATGCCCGCTGTCTCCGCGCCGTGGGTCTAGGGGCATTATTGTGGTAACAACGCAGACTCTGCTCGAAACATTCCAGAATGCCTCTTTAGGAGTCTCCCAAGAAAACCAGTTTTCAGAGTTTTAACATGTTTTCCACTAACCAGCTTTACTTTATAAAGCTTGGTTAACTATCTAATTTACTAGATTTTGCTCCAAAGAACTTTGGACTGTTTCCTAAAATCAAATCCACCCTCACAGGACAAAATCTCCCTGGAGATGGGGAGGTCAAGGGAAAGAGGAATCCCAGCGCAGGGAAGTGGGGAGCCGGGCTGCTGGTCCCCAGGATCACCCCTGCCTGGCTGTGTCCTCACACAGCAGACAGGCCCTGCGCTCCCAGGCACAGTGGGCAACATGCAGCATTTAACGCTCTCCAGTCACTGCCAGTTCCTTCCGCCAATGTGTCCCTGCTCCTCCGTGGTTCCTTCTAAAGCTGGGATCAGAAACCCTGACCAACACCCCTGGCTTCCTCCAAACAAATGCTCCCTGGGTAAACACCCTCAGGCCCTGCGCCCAAGCAGGTGACACCAGTTTCCTCTTCCAGGGGCTCCTGCACGGACAGGCAGCGGCGGGGGCAGTCAGTTCCCACGGCCACCTCTCCCCTCTTCCGTTGGCTCTGCCGCCCCCACACCTTGAGAGAAGCTGCTTATTTCTGCAGCCAGCGAAAGCTGCCAGGACCCAGAGATGCGCGAGTGCACACCCAAACGGGGAGGCCCTGCTCTGCCTTCACTGGTGTCTGGGACCCCATGGAGCTCCCCCAACAGGCCTCCCCTGGGCTCTGCTAATGATTATAAATGGCAAAGAGCCTCCAATTTAATTGCAAAAGGTAATGATGCAGTGAGCATAAGATTAGATTCACCAAGGAAGGCAATATCCTCAAACAATAAAAAAAAAAAAAATCGTGGAGCCGGGCGTGAAGACGGTCGAAATCGATAGGAAGGGAGGGTGTGAGACACGGCGGCCAGAACCACAGAGAGGTATCGACAGAACTGCTGACAGCAGATAAAAAGGGGGAGAGAAAACCAAATTGGTCTCTGCAGAAAATAAGTTACAGATTAATCACCCTACCGTAAAATCATTTTGAGATGACTGAGGGTCTGAAGACGCGCTCACAGTCTGATTACAGGACGGGACGGCGGAGTCGGGCACCGAGCGCCCACTGAATCCTAATGCAGTCGGAGCCGCCGTTTCCTCCCGGGGTCGCCTGCCAGGCGGGGCAGCAGGTGCTCAGAGGCTCCAAGCACCCTCTGGACCAGGGCCGAGCCGCCCGCCCCACGCCTGCCACGAGGCCTGGCACTGTGACAGGAAAGCGCTGTTCCCTGTCTTCAGCGCGCAGTTTTCAGGAACACCTCCTGAGGGAGGGGGCAGGAGAGGGCCCCCTGGACTCCGGCCAGATGCCCCAACAGGTCCCCTGGGAGGGGGTGCTGTACAAGCGTCCAGCCCAGACCTGCAGGGGCTGCAGGGACAATCCGAGGCACTCCGCTTCCTTCCAGTTTCCTGCTTCCGCCTGAAAGTTCAGGTGAAATTCGCATCTCCTCCAGGATACAGAGCTGCGTCCTACTTTGTAGCATCTTAATAAAAACAGTGACCTTTTTTCTGAAGTATTATTAGTGTGCTAGGAAAACAGGCCAACTCAACCTCACACTGAGGCCTGGGAGACACCCTTCTGACCGTGAAGCTTTAAGACCCTAGCAGGTCACTTCAGATTTTGAAAGTGTGAATTTTCTGCCACATGCTGATAATGATAAACCATTACTCACGCATCTCCTCGACCAGAGGGTGACGAAGGGGTTGTCAGCGCTGCAGGTGCCACGGGGGAGAAGAGCTAAAGGCGCCCCAGGCACACGCGGACAGAGGCGAGATTCACGTACCCCTACGAAGCCCACGCCACAGACACCCCCAGCCCCTCCCGACCACGTGCCGCAGTCTGGCCCCTAGGGGTGCGTGGCATTACAGGCTTTATCGTTTCAAATTTCTTTATTTTCTCTCTAAAGTTGTTGCTCTGACATTCAACTGCAATGAAATCATGAATGCATGTAAACACATTTTATGAGCAGAAATGTTAAGGAATCAGATATGAAAAAATATATACCAATTGGTAGAATATTTACTCCAGGAAAGACAAAGTATTTGAAGTGATGAATGTCTGAAAGCCAAACTGGTTCCCACGAAAGGTGATGCCAAGCATTAAACAGGCCTGGAGATGAACAGGCCCGTTGAGAGGGGCGTCACCTTCTGGTCGGGGAGGACCTGCTGACAGAGCTACTCTCCATCCTTGAGGACAGGGCTCCGTAGGTGACTGACAGGGCAGGACAGGAGACAGCCTCCGTGCGGGTCAGCGACCCAGGGACCACGTGTACGGAGCAGCTGACACGTCTGATGGCTAAACCTCAGGACCTTGCCTGCCAGTGAGTGAAGGAGGGGAGGGGCAAGGGGAAAGGTCCCCACGTCACAGTCAACGTACTTCCACGAGCTAGTCAACACCAGGAAATCTGCATTTGACGACTGCTCCTACCTAAAAGGTGATCTTAACCAAAGAGATGTTGAAAATCCATTCATTAAAAAGACATATACTTGACAGAATGGCCATCATTCAAAAATCCACAAATGATAAATGCTGGAGGGGGTGTGGGAAAAAGGGAACCCTCCTACACTGCTGGTGGGAATGCAGTTTGGTGCAGCCACTGTGGAAAACAGTATGGAGATTCCTCAAAAGACTAGAAATAGACTTACCATATGACCCAGGAATCCCGCTCCTGGGCATATACCCAGAAGGAACCCTGCTCCAAAATGACACCTGCACCCCAGTGTTCATAGCAGCACTGTTTACAATAGCCAAGACATGGAAACGGCCTAAATGTCCATCAACAGGTGACTGGATAAAGAAGTTGTGGTATATATACACCGTGGGATACCACTCAGCCATAAAAAAGAATAAAACATTGCCATTTGCGGCAACACGGATGGACCCAGGGATTATCATACTAAGTGAAGCAGGTCAGGCAGAGAAAGACAAACCAAATTATATCGAACTCACATGTGGAATCTAAAAAACAAACAAAAACCCACAAATGAGCTCGTTTACAAGGCAGAAACAGACTCATAGACATAGAAAGCACACCTATGGCTCCAGGGAGGAGAGGGTGGGAAGGGACAAGCTGGGAGTCTGCGATTTGCAGATACTAACTGCTGTATATAAAACAGATGAACAACCAGTTTATACTGCACAGCACAAGGGATGACACTCAGCACCCTGTAATAGCCTGTAAGGGAAAACAATATGAAAACGAGTATGTGTATTATATGTATGACTGAAACATGGTGCTGTACACCAGGGATGGACACAGCACTGTAAACTGACTGTGCTTCAATTTAAAAAAAAAGACATAACCCTTGACACAGAAGCATATACTTTTGGCTATCTCACTAACTCTTCTGGACAAATTAATGGCCAAAGGGGGTAGTTTCGTCAACTTCCAGATTCTGTGTTGTATTTGTACACAGCCTTGAGGCCCAAATCCCAAGCAGCTTTTGCCTGAAAGAGCCACTCACTCAGTTCTCTGACTGATGATTCAGTGCGTTCATTAATTAGCCCGCAATCAATGCCAAAATCCTAAACCTATACGAATCAGGCCGCGGACTCGGTGACCAGCCGAAGACCGAGGGACAGCACGCGAGGCCAAGCTGGCGGCCCGTCACTCACCGCCGCCCGGCTGCCGCTCTCCTGCAGATCCCAGAGCAGGACGTGGTTGTCGGCCAGCGAGACGACTCTCCCCCCGGGGCCCGCCGGCTCCCACACGACGCTGCGGGAGGAGAAAGGAGAGCTCGTTAGGCGGGTGCCCGCAGCCCACCCTCCAGACCGGGGCTTTCACACATGCCCTCCCCCGGCCAGCAGGGCCCCTCCAGCCTCGTCACCAGCCGGGTGGCAGCAGCGCTCTCCCTGACGTTGCGCGGCGCTAACGCCCTGCGGCGGACAGGCATCCAGCCCTCCTCTCAGAGTCACCTGGTGTGTGCATGGGGGTTGGGAGGGATCTGGGAAGTGATTATGGTTCCACGAGCGCTGGAGGGCGGGCCGCGTGGTGGGAATAGTGCCCACACACGGCCAGACACTAGACTCTGCGAGCTCTCGGTCCCCAGTCGTGCATATCTGTCTTTGTCTCTCCCTGTGATCTGTCTCTCTCCCTGTGATCTGTCTCTCTCCCTGTGATCTCTGTCTCTCCCTGTGATCTGTCTCTCTCCCTGTGATCTCTGTCTCTCCCTGTGATCTGTCTCTCCCTGTGATCTCTGTCTCTCTCCCTGTGATCTCTGGCTCTCTCCCTGCGATCTGTCTCTCCCTGTGATCTCTGTCTCTCTCCCTGCAATCTCTGTCTCTCCCTGTGATCTCTGTCTCTCTCCCTGCAATTTCTGTCTCTCCCTGTGATCTCTCTCCCTGTGATCTCTGTCTCTCTCCCTGCAATCTCTGTCTGTCCCTGTGATCTCTGTCTCTCTCCCTGTGATCTCTGTCTCTCTCCCTGTGATCTCTGTCTCTCTCCCTGCAATCTCTGTCTCTCCCTGTGATCTCTGTCTCTCCCTGTGATCTCTGTCTCTCTACCTGTGATCTGTCTCTATATTTCTATACCCTCCTTCCCTGCCATGTGAACGCACCGTGCGAGGTGGCATTTGTAAGTCAGGAAGAGAGCTCTTCCCAGCACCCTGATCTCAGACATCCAGCCTCCAGAGCTGTTAAGAAGTCAGCATTTCTGCTGTTTAAGCCCCAGCTGTGGGCTTTTGTTATGACACCTGAGCTGACGAGACACTGCAGACAGGGTCTCCCGGCCCCTGGGGAGCTGACCGACTCTAGCCGGAGATGTGAAGGGGCCTGATAGGGGCTGGGTCTGAAGGGACACAGACAGACGGCGTGACTGGGGAAAGGATGCCCGCGTCTCTCGCAGCATCTCCTGGGAGGCGGAGCTGAGATCGGCGGAGAGGGGGCATCACATCCCTGAGGTGCCCAGCAGCTCAGCATGCCCTGCCTGAGCTGCCAGACACTGTCCAATGTCTCAGCAGCGTGAGCCAGTTTCCTGTTACCTGCAGCCAAAACCATCCTAACGGTGCAAGCACATTCGAATAACTAACTAAAGACACACATCACACCACCGTGATAAAGGACAAAGGGGGCAAGACTTTCTCAGTTTGATCACAAGTAGGAATTTCTGCCTTCCCGGCTGCAACTCCCGAGTGCTCATAAACAGGAGAGTCCCACTCCGCGTCCCCTGACACCTGAGGAACTGAAGATGCCAATAAAGACCCTCGCTATTTCCTTCTCAAACAGAACACAACGCTGACTGATGGAGCGCACCTCCCCAACACCATCCTGCAAGACTGTGAGTGAGCCGTTACTACTTTTATCATGTCAGTGTAATTCAGGACCACAACTTCTTTCTCATTCATAGTTTAAGACACACAGAGTTCATAGCTCTGTGACCACAGGTACATGGTGCCTCTGTCAGCCCAAGAGCTTTTCTAATAACACTGAAAAATGCACAATATCCAGTAAACAGAATTAAAATACCATGGCCAGAAGAGATGCCAAGAAACCTGGTTCTAAAATCTGTTGTGCCTATTTGGTTAAGACACTGGCAGTTCTGATCTGAAGACAATTTTTTGGAGCAAGATGACTGAACTTCTCTTGGCAGCCTGTTCACACAGGGACACTTATGTAGAGTTCAGACAGCCGACAATGGATGCCAAGGAAAATACAAAACAGGGAAGAGGGTGCAGGGCCACCACAGCCCCGTCCTGGCGGACGGTAAGCCCTTGTCTGTGCTGGGCACGTCCTGTCTCGGCCCCTCGGCTGCTGTGACAGAACACCTCAGACTGGGGACTTAACCCCCAGAGGCTGATCTCTCACACTCTGGAGGCTGGAAGTCGGAGACCAGGGTGCCAGCGTGGTGGGACTCTGGTGGGGACCCTCCACACGGCCTGCCCTGCACACAGTCGCCTTCTCCCTGTCCTCACAGCACAGAGAGCAGAGGGGAAGCTCCGAGTCTCTCTCCTGAGGGCACTAGCCATCTGAGAGAGAGCTCCACCCTCCGGACCGCGTCGCCTCCCAAAGGCCCCACAAAGGCCAACACACTGGAGACGAGGGTTTCAACACATGAACTCGGGAGAACAGCAAATGCAGCTCCTCACACCCTACAACAGGGACAGGAAATTCAGATCCATCTACAGGCTCCTCACCAGCTCTCACTTGTAACTCCTGCCCCCTAGTGCACACACACGCACACACAGTCACACAGACACACGCAGATGCACATACACACACGCACACATAGACACAAGCACATACAAACACATGCACACAAACACACACAGACACACAGACACAGACACACACAGACACACGCGCACATAGACACACACACGCACACACACAGAAGAGCCAGGACGAGGAGGAACTCCCCAACACTGTCAGCACGATGACAACCTGAGGGCCATCACACAGACGTGGGATTTTCAGCGGAAGCCCCAGAAAGCCAGAGATGCCCAGGGCACTGACGCCACAGGGTAAGAATTAGCCAGTGCAATGCCGAAGACTGGCCGCCCCCCCACCACGTGCAGGCCCTCCCTGTCCTCCCAAAGGCCATCGTTAATGACACACCAGCCTCGGACACCACCTCTGGGCCGTGAGCATCTGACTTCGGTTCCGCAGCCAGATTAAAGGCTCCTGGAGAGAAGGCCCCATTTATTAAAAACCTATTCCATTCTCCAGTGACCAGCAATGTTCGGGGCCCATGGCACTGAATTCATACTTGCTCATGAATTCCAGGTAAGAGACAAGAATTCCAGTAAGAGTGGAGACACCACATTCCAAAAAATGAGACCACTTTAAAGTGCATTTAGTTAACCATTAGCACACTAGGGTTTGGAGGACAGCCAGCAACCCTGAAACGAGAGCAAGAAGGAAAAGCGTTAGGCTCCACGCCGGCAAGACCCCTCCTCCTGCCGCCCGCCCGTGGCTCTGGGTCCTCGGGAGAAGGGGACCGTGGCTGTGAGGGCCAGGGCGCTGGTGAGGAGGGGCGGGGGTGCCAGGGCAAGCCGTCAAGGCGATGACACGACGGCCATGGGGGGGGGCGGGGGGAGACCCGGGCCCCTGGGCCCTTGGCGTGGCCGAGCCGGCACAGCGCACCTGCCGGCGCGAGAACGGTCCTGACCGCGCGGCCGGCGAGCCCCGCGGCGGAGCGGAGTGAGTGTGCCTTAAAAACGGTAAAGGTCAAAATCGGTTTTAGAAAATTTTCCATCTAATACGGGTTGTTTTAAAGCCTTGATGTTTTAACTTTGACGAACCTCAGTGATCAGGAAAACTCAAGTTATTCAGAAGTGCCACTCTTAAGGTTTCAGGTGGCTAAGTTTTAAATCAGAAATTCAAACAGCAAAACTGAGTTAGCTTCATGAGGAAATACAGTGCCCGTGAATCTGCATTATATCCTCCCACAGATAAAAGCTGATCCTAGCAACCTCCCGTGTGGGACATCGCAGGTGGGGACACCGTGGGTTAAAGGCATTTCACAGCGGACAGTCAGACAGCGTCACAGAAGGGCTCAGAGGCCAAGCCCGCACACGCCCCACCCACCACGCACACCCCCAGGCCCACTGCTGCCAGAACACTCTGCCCGGGGGGCTCCACCCTAGCTGAGAAATGCCTTCCCTGCGCCCCCCCACCTCCCTGAACAACACCAGACACTCAGGGGTCAGGGGCACGTGTGTATGGCAGGCCTGGTACATTCTAGAGCATCTACAGAGGGTCAGATCCATGGACACACGGGGGGCCGGACGTCCTGGGGCACCTAGAGTCAGGAGTACGCACACAAGGTGCATTCGGAGCATCGGTGATGTGGAGCAGGGGGCTCCAGCCAACACCAGGCGTCCCCGAGAACGGGCTCCAAGTCCTCTTGCTTCCTTCTGCTCGGGGGACGCATGCTCACACACCTACACAGGCATCAGCCCAAGCTGCAGACCCCAAACTGCTCGCACACTCACTCTAGAGCCAAATCCAACAGCAGGAAGGCATTGGGAGGAGCCCGCCTGCTTCACAGAATATTCTCCCTCCAGACGCAGCCCGGGCAGGGCCCCCTCCCGCCCCTGACTTACAGACAGGGGTCCCCCGGTCCAGCTCTGCCCCAGGAGTGGAAGTGAAGGCGTGATGGCTTGCAGCCCCCCTCATCACCCCCAGCACGGTTCCGTTTGCCTCTGTGTGGCCGCGTCTCCCTGGGACAAGGCTCGCGTTTCACAGCCACATTGTCAGAGGAAACAATCAAATGAATTTCAAATGTTTATAGAAGTAACTTTTTATATCGGAGAAGGAAAATATATATGTAGTTCAAAAAGAAGAAAACAAAGAGCTTAAAGAACACAAGAGGCAATGCTGATTTGCTTCAGGAGAAACCCTGGCTTCAGTGCTCACTGGTGACAGGTTTAAGAGATGCTTCATCAGGGGAACAGTCTCCTGCCACCTCTGGAGGTCACAGTGAATGACACACGGTCGCCGCTGCAAAGACACAGGAAAGCGGAAAACACTGGGGTTGTGAGGAGGCCTTCCTCCGCAATTCTGACAGTCTGCGGCCGGGACCCACACAGGTGCCGACCCCAGGTGACCAAGCCTGAAAGCCTGGGGCCCGGACAGCGGGGCGCATGGTGGTGTCGCGGGGAGACCGGTCTATGAGACCAGCTGCCCAACTGCCGAGTTCCCAGAAGAAGTCTCAGTGGCTGTGTGTTCTGAGAGTAGTCACGACCGCGGCCTGCAGCACCGCGATCCTCAGTGGAG